AATTTAGTTTTAGACAAATAAAATTTGCATTTTGAATTATGGGTTTGCATACTAAATAATTTGACATTTTTAATGACTTAAGTTCATTCTATTATTAATACTTGAATTATATCACTTACTAATTTTCAATAAAGAGTATAAAATAGTACATGATTAAATAATCTTTTTTTTTTTTTTTTTTCAAATTTTTAAAACTAAAATATTCTAAAAAACAGTTTTTGAGAATCTGTTTTATTATGCATTAATTTTGGAAAAGAACTGAATTTTAATTAGTAATACTGATGTAGTTGGACGTTGCACTACTAACAGTCTACAATAAAATAATTTTTAATTAAACCAGTTATATTCTAATTTGCTGAAAGTTTCCTCTTTAAATAGTACATTATAAAGCAGATTTTGAACTATTATGTAAAATTAAAATTTCATTATGCCTATAGAGCATAATTTTAACAGTTCCACTGAACTTTAATTTTTAATCATTTCTATAGCTTAAGCGTTTATTTTTTAATTATGCTCTGTATGGAAGAAAAATCAAAGATATAGCTATATTTGATAATATATACCAAAACAAATTTAAAATTATAAGGACATTTAACAGTTAAAAAAAAAAAAAAAAAAAGACTGAGATGAAGACTAGTTAAATTTTAAATTGTCCCAGGAAATAATCAAATAGCTGAAATATTTTTTTACATAACATTAATATACAGATACAATAGAAATAATTATTGTAAGCACTTAGTAAAGACACTTAGTTTTGCAGTGTAATTTAAAATTCAAACCAAAATTTTATAAAAACAAAAGTAACGTCCTATAATATAAAGAATAGCATTTTCTTCAACGAAGGTTTACACATTTCCCAGTAGTCTCAATCTAGAACAACTGTAATATGAAATTTTCCCTCAGTGACGAAAAGCATCTTGAAGTCTGGTCACTAATCCTTACACTTCCCTTCCTTTTGCAACATAGATGCATTCCTCTGAGAATCCATTAAACTACACACAAGAATCTTTGTTGCAAATAGGAGGTGATTTCTTAAAGGAGGAAAGCATTCGGTTCAAGATTCCCTGTCCATTCAAGGCATTTACTGCTACCAAAGATCCAGCCTCAAAAGGTTAAGATGAGAAAAATAATTTTTTGCATAAAATTTAGTTTTTTTTTTTTTTTTTTTTTTTTTTTTAAATATATATATACATATAAATTTTTTTTAATCTTATGATATTTGATTCTTGCGATTTCAAAAATAAAATATTTGACTAAAATATGAATAACATTTTAAAAAACTAAATGTAGGATGATAAGATTGTGTTAGGCAATGAGCAAAATGATAAAGCTGTTTATAGAAATATATGCAAGTCATCCTAAGTTAAAATGTCAGTTATACATCTTTCTCGTTTATATATCTTTTCTGAATGAATGGAGCATTGAAAGGCATGTTAACTGTGTTTAATTGTATTTTCTCTTTGAATATATGCAGTTTTTAAATGCATCGTAGTCTGGGTAACAAAGTATTATTCCGAAAGAAACGCAATTCAAATAAATAAAATCAAATTTCAGAAAATTTATATTAATAAATGTATTTAAAATGCTCAGTTCGAATCAATAAATAGAAAATTTTAAAACAATTATCTGAAGAGACAATGCAACACTAACAATTAAAATAAAAAGTCTAAAAATTTAAAAATTACCTAGTATAATAACTATGACAAAAAAAATTATAAAGAAAACTATTTGGAAAAAAATAATAACAATTGATGCACCTTTTATTTAAACTATGCACTTCAAATGGGTAAATACCAATTTTTAAAACAGTTATTCAAAAGAAACCATGCAACTTAAACAATTAAAATGAAATTTGAAAAAGAAAAAATACTTAAAATAATAACAATTATAATTAAATTATAATATAAAGAACATTATTTGAAAAAAAAAAGGAGCAATTGTGACTTTTTTTCCGCTGACGCACAATATAAAAAGGAAAATAGGTTGCCATGTATTAAGAAGTTCGCCAAGTGAACTAGTCTTGGCTCAAACTGAAAAAAAGTGCCAACATAAATTTATGAATTTCTCCGTAAATTTCGCACCAAATTTTACAAAATTTCATATTTAGGCATAATTTGAGTAGTAGAGTCAAAATATGGAAAAAAATTGGTATGTTATTTCAGAAAAAAGTCTGATTTTGTGTCAAAATACCTATGTTAGAATAGAGCTATATATAAATCTAATATATATTCGAAGTCAGGCTTTCGAGACATGACACACACAATTTGAATTTCGTCAATTGGCCCAGTAAAACGGGAGAAATAGAACTGTCCTCCCCTTTTTTTTCGCAGTGTACATTTAATACAAAAAAAAATTAATATATTAGCATACTATCAATAAAATCAATATATTTAGCATATTTTCCAGTAGTCAGAAACAATTTTGAAACTAACTCTTCTGATATGAGATCAACTTCTTAATAATAAAATTACACATTAAAAATATTTTTTAAATATACATAAACTGAAAACTTTTTAAATACTGAAATGCAATTACTCAGCCAGTGAACAAAAAATTGTATTTATATTTGCACACATACTTTTCTAAAATGTGATCTGCTATAAATTCATGAACACATGCATAAATGTACAGTTGCAAAAACATTTCACATGCAAATGGCAAAATTATTATGCATAACAGCCAAAATAATACCTGCACTGACTAAATTAAAAATGGTGGCAATTACAAAAGATACTCAGCCATTATTACAGTCAAAAGTCGTTAATTCGGACACCCATAATTCGGAATGATCTATAATCCGGACCTCAAAACTAAAAACTTTCTGCACATGCGCCGCGTTGACACATGCGCATAGGCGTTTACGCGTGCGCGTAAGACCTTTTACGACTTCGCATATGAGTGTGCGCAAGTGCAGAATACGTTTTCGCGTGCGCGTTTTATGTATAATGGACGTATAAGCTAAATAATTATCTATTTCAGTTAATGTTGATGATTGCGTTGTTCCTTAATTTTCGAATTGGATCCGGCTTATTATTTTTTGCAGACTGTAAGAGCAATTTTATAAAAGTAAGTTTAAACTTTCGATTATATCAAATAGAATTTCTGATATATATTTCTTAATATGTAAAGGATCTAAAGCGAAAGTATGTTTTGAAATCCGAAATCTGTTTATCAATTTCACGCTGCTCGGCGGGGGGAACGCCGCAGCGTGCGCGTAATGAATTGGAAGTTGATCTATCCTTATCTTCAGGGCAGATGTTTTTATTTTATTTGGCTTATAATTCCTTATCAAATGTAGTATTTCATCTCGATGTGCTCCGTCTTTGATATGATTTAAAACAAGTTCCTCGTCATTATAATTCGCTTCTGATAGCGAAGTGACAGAGGTTATTCAAAACGAAAAAATTTCGATTGACAAATTAGTCAGTATTCTCGACACAGCAATTATAGGACTTGAACAGTGGAACTTTGTAACTGAACAAGAAATTATGTCTGTTTAATAGAATTAAAGAGAAAGTATTATCACATGAAACGAAGCAAAACTTAAACAACTTACATTGAAAGAAATGTTTAATAAAGTAAACAAATAAATATTAAGCTTTTTCTTTTTGCAAATTTTGATACCCTTTAGTTCATAATTGTTCTTTATTTCATAAATTACGGTTTCATACTTTTAATTTTAGAATTTCTGCATGCCATCTTACGAGATTTAAACTGATGATCTATAATCCGGAAAAATCGATAATCCGGAATCGCCGAAGTCCCGACGAGTCCGGATTAACGACTTTTGACTGTATTAGAATTTTGTAATCATGGATTAAATTACCATAAAAAGCTTCATTTAAGGGTATAACAGTGACATGAAAATGTATAATTTTTTTTAATTCCCTCTTATCAATTTTGCAATGCATACATTAATTAAATAATATGCAAGATATTATAACATGAAAGAACACTGTTCTCAGTTTACAAAAGTTCTATGCATTTACTTTGTATTATATGTACTTATTTGCTAGAGCCAAAAAAATAAAATAGAATAAAATAAGAATTTATTTTTAAAAAAATTTTATGCATCACACTGTTTAATATTTTTTAACCAAAACTCAAAAGAAAACATTCTGGATATATACATATTTTTAATAAAATGGTTCAATTTAAGCTTTTTTGCAATTTTTACTTATCTTGAATTAATAAAACTACTCTAAATAGAAAGATAAGGCACATCAAAATCATGATTACATGTAAAAAAAATAATACTATCCTGAACCCTTGCCATTCATTCCACAATTTTCAAGGACAGTCGTAAAATGTTCCAATATCTCAAATATATATTTGAAATGTCACACAATTTAAAATACATTTCTTGGGAAAAAAATTAGGTAATGGGTTTCAGTCCACTTATTATGACCAAGGACTTCAGTAATTATATTGAGAACCATTGTGTTACTAATTTCTTTTATAATGTATGCAGCATTTACAGTAATAATCTTTCCCTCTCCAAGTAGCAGTATTTCTGCCTATTATGATATCTCTTCCTGTCACAATAAATCTGAATACGAGACTTGTACGTTTTGAACTTCTAGGGAAATTTGTGAAAAATCTCATGAGACAATCCATTGAGTCACAAATGGAAATTTTATCTTGCATTTTATTTTTGGCAGTTTCTGGTAGCACAAAGGCAGAATTTACAATTCAGTTTCTTTGTTTTGTTCCAGTTGAAGATCTCTTAACTCTATCTTATGTTTCATTACATCTCTATTGTTGTACTTAAATTTGTTAGATTTCTTTTTTTTTCGGGGGGAGGGGGGTTGAATTAAGTTTTGGTAACTAACTTTTATTTTTCCCAAATTGCTCCAAATTTCTTTGAGTAAAAATTTAGAATTGCCCATGATTATAAAAGAACATTATGAGAACCCTACTTTACACATTATGTACAATATTATATGAAAACGTCCACATAATTATGGCCAATACAGACATACTTAGGAAAAATTAAGTACCATTAAATGGATTCTATGCCCAACAGCACGTACTCCAATGTCTTTCAAGTCTTCTGATGTCATAAGTAAGAGACGGCGTCCATTAATATGTTGTTCCAGGAACAAATCAGCATACTGAGCCAAATCTTTTGAGTTTGCTAACCAAACGATGAAATTTGATTAATGCAAAATATATATAAATATGCAAAGGAAGAGAGATCCATATTCCGTCATAAAAGTGATAGACAAGTACATTGAAGATACAAGAACATTTGATGTGTAGGGGGGGGACGAATAAATTTAATACTTAACAGTGTAAGTAATCAATGTGCAACAAAAAAATGTACATAATTTTCATCACATCATTAAAAATAGTTTAATTTCAAATATTTAGTTCATTTCTACCACAGAAATTCTGATGGTATTAAAACTACAAATAGTAAATTTTGACATGAGTAAACTTCAGATATGTTTAATATCACTGCTGCAGATATATATTTAATATAAAAAATATTAATTGAAATATTTATAAATTTTATGGATTATTTAAAAAATTTCACACAATAAATACTGTAAGATTAGTTGCTTTTGTAAAACTTAAAGGTTTATTATTATTATATACTAAAGTAGTTCTCCTTTAAATAACTACTATAGAAGAAATCCAAATAAAAAACTACATATTGAAACAGTAAAAGCATATATAAAGTATAATTAATTACACATATTAGATACGATAAAATAATAAAAAAAAATCTTGAAGAGAAATAAATCGGTAAAAATTTTATTAAAAGAACAATAGCAAAAAATATACTGAAAATAAAATAAGTGTTCCAGCATACCTTCTAATCCTAACTGCTTGATCCACAAGCACTGAAAACAAAATTAATTATGTATATTTTCATTAAAACATACAAAAAAATTCTTTTTCAAAACCCTAAAAACAATACATACCACATCATCAGATGACCAAGTATTTATGTCAAGTTCATACAGTTGCTAAAAAAAGAATGACACATGAAATCAGCAACTATCATATAGTATTAATAATAATAAGGACAGTACAGTTAGAAATATGGTTCATTCCTGAAAGATATTATGGAAAAATCACGTAAATCAAGAAAAAAAAATTACTACAGTTTTTAATCAGCAAAACACTTTTTAAATCTTTTTGAATGAATATTTAAGCAAAATACCATTTGACAGTCAAAATTCCAGAATAGTTAACATAGTAAAAATATAAGCATATTTTTTTTTCTTCTATCATTAAATGGTGTAAAATATTGACACATAAGCCATCTGGTGCACAGCCACAATAATTGGAAGCCAATTCCAATAAAAACAAATACTATAATATTTCCATGGATTACGAAAGCTTTGAAGCAATACACACAATACAATCAGATAATAAAGGCAAAAATAGTTTTAAAATATCACTGAAGATAAAATAAAAAAACTAAAGATATCATTAGAAAATCGTGACTTCCCAATAACAAAGTCCATACCTCAATTTAAAAAATTAATCAAGGACAAAGTTTTTCCAAAAAGGCTGAAAATTAGTCAGTTAGATAACAATCCTAATAATACTAAACCTACAATGAAAATGCAACATATCTTTCAGTGAAATGGGTATAAATTCAGATGACACATATTAGATACGGTGAAATATAACAAAATTTTAAAGGGCAATAAATAATTAATTTATGATCTATATATATATATATATATATATATATATATATATAATCATAAAACAATTTCTTAAAATAAAATAATATAACCATGCCTAGTATTTTTGCTCATTAAGCTGCTGAAAAATTATAAAAGACATCAAATAAGAAATCAGTACAAAGAAATTTTGAAAAAGTTCCTATAAATGTAAAAAAGAATTTAATAAATGTTAAAACTAAAATATTTCAAACAAGTAAAACCCTCATTCAAAAAATTAATTAAATTCAAAGAATATAAAAGAGGAGGAATTCAATCAATTCAATGTCACTTTTTTGTCACACATTTTAATAGTTCACCAGAAAATTCTGGCCCCTTCCCAAAGCAAGGAAAAAACAAAGTAAATTCATATAAAAATTTTTAAAATGCATATATATATATACATAAATTATTTATAAAGGTGCTAATTTAAAATATGCATTTGAATTTAAAATTTAATACAATGATTGAATAAGTATTAAATTCTGCTGCATTTCCTTAAATTGGCTGAAAAAAATTTCATATGGAAGTATAGAGCATTGAAAATGAAAATATTAAAATTTCAAGTCCAACACACAATGATGACTGCAGCAACATATTGAAATAGTACATGATGATGTTGATGTAAAGAAGAATATTAGTTTTTAAGCGTAATATTTAAAGTGAAGTTTCATTATGTTTATATTCAATGGTACTAAGAATGCTTCAATGTCAAAAGCAACCTCAAAATAAAGAAAAATTATTATTATAATTCAAGAAAAATAAAATAAAAGAACGTTCAATTTGAAAGATGACATTATCACATTGAAGACGGTGGAATGGTCAAATCAGTTACCACTCCATATCTGAACTGCAGAGAAAAGTAGAAATTAATAGCAAACAGGCACAGATTCACGTAAAAAAGAAAATACAATGGCATAAATAACAATGGATTTGCCATCATCAGCTATCCTTAATGTTACATGTACAGAAATGGCCACTAAATGGCCAGAAGATTGGGAATTATTGATATCTAATTTGCTGATTAGAACTAATCAACTGTAGTGCCTATTCAAATGAAACCCTCATTTCAAAAATTAATTAAAATTCAAAGAATATAAAAGAGGAGGAATTCAATCAATTCAATGTCACTTTTTTGTCAAAATTTAATAGTTCACAGAAAATTTGCGCCCCTTCCAAAGAAAGGAAAAAAACAAAGAAAATTATATAAAAATTTTTAAAAATGCATTATATATATACATAAATTATTTATAAGGTGCTAATTTAAATATGCATTTGAATTTAAACATTTAATACAATGATTGAAAAGTATTAAATCTGCGCATTTCCTTAAAAATTGGCTGAAAAAAAATTCATATGGAAGTATAGAAGAATGAAAATGACAAATTAAAATTTAAGTCCAACACACAATGATGACTGCGCAAAACATATTGAAATGTACAGATGATGTTGATGTAAAGAAGAATATAGTTTTTAAGCTAATATTAAAGTGAAGTTTCATATGTTATATTCAATGTACTAAGAATGCTCAATGTAAAGCAACTCAAAATAACGAAAAAATTATTATATAATTCAAGAAAAATAAAATAAAAGAACGTTCAATTGAAGAGACATTATCACATGAAGACGGTGGAATGGTCAAATCGTTAACCACTCCATACTGCACTGAAGAGAAACGTGAAATAATAGCAAACAGGCACGATTCACGTAAAAAAGAAAATACAATGCATAAATAACAATGGATTTGCCATCATCAGTCTATCCTTCATGTTCATGTACAGAAATGGCACTAAATGGCAGAAATTGGGAATTATGATATCTAATTTGCTGATTAGAACTAATCAACTGTAGTGCCTATTCAAATGACTCTCAATACCACAGCTGCCAACTAGGCTATCTTCCAGCAAGATAAGACCTGTTCACAAATGGCATATCATTCTTACATCCCCTCCCCCCCCAAAAAAACCCACATTTCTGCTCTTAATTTGCTAATCTCACCTAGACAATATGCCTGAGCTTTGTTGGGGCATCATCTGCATCCACAGCAAAATGTGACAAAGCTGCATGCATTTGAACTAGAGGTAGTTCTACAATCCATTAATTTAATTATTTAATAAAGTTTATCTTTATTAAATAAATAATCTTAAAGTTTTAGAATTGTAACAATTTTTTTGCACCAAATTTCATCAACCAAATGCAGAGTTACCAACCTTGAAATATGGAAAACTGGGAAGCTCTCACAATGTAAACCAGGAATTCCTGGGAGGTTTTCAAGCTATGTGGAGACATCATTTAAAAAAAACTCCAAATTTTCTTTATAATATGCATGATTATGATTACTGAATTCTTTATGAAATGATTCTGATGTAAAACATATTAATACTGTTGCATGAATACGGGTTCATAATAGACTCAATACATACAGAACCAATGACAGCTTTATAAATTAATTTTTTCAAAAGAAACACGTCACAGTTCTGGAATTTTCTACAAAATAATCAAACAACTCTTCTCAGTTATCACAGAGTAAAATCAGTAGTTAAAGAATGTTAAACACAGTGTAATGCAAAGCTCATATGAAGATCTCTCAATAATCCATACTCAATACTGAACGGAACAACTGACACAAAGTCTTCTCTCCGATCTTATATAGCTTCCCCACAGCCGCTGAGAAATATCTAGTAACTTCCACTTTCAAAATTCTTGGAAGGCATGTGAGAGTTGGATACCATTAAAGTAATTCAATTACAATTACAGTTATACAGGGACCAGACAAAAATGTCATCAAATTGTCTTACTTTTCTTTCTTTCTCTTCGCCATTGACAGAACGGTTGGCTTACTAGGTTAGGTGTTCTTCAGCAAATAAGATCCCATTGATTGAATAATCATTAAAAAAACACAAAGATTGGCTACTTTTGGCAATGTTCACTCAAGAGTGGCGACTTTTGGCGAATTCTCACCAAATCTGACAACAGAAGTTAGTCACCGAAATTATCATCAGCCTGGCGATACCGCGCCAATTTAGCGGAAGAGCAATTTATCTCAAATTTTAAATAGACTTGCCCCTGTAATCTTTTTTTGGCAGAGCTTTGCCTCTTTCAAACATTTCGTATTACATTATACAAAAAAAAAAAAAAAAAAAAATATCACAATTTCCCATATAATTTCACTAAAATTATTTTTATACATACAAAATTCATAACATTGCCCTCTTCCCAAGAGCTGCATGTCCTGAGCAGTACAATCTCTAAACAGAAAGCCATACTTACAACTAAAGAAAATCAATGCCGTACTAAAACAATAATTTCAGCAAATAACATGAAGGAAATCAAATATCAAATCCATAAATAAATGCATAAATTTATAAATTTATATCTAAATATCACCATGTCTTAGTTTACTATTTACATTATATACACTATGAGTGTTATGTACTAAGGCTAGCCTGTCTAATGAATGGCTTTAGACTTTGAATTTGGTAACTCACAGAATATAACATGGTTCAGACTGCTTAAAGCTGCATAAAGACCGTCCCAGGATGACTGTAGTCTATGAGAGAGTCCTTTCTGTCGAATTAGACTTCATAACCCCACTTTGTCACCTTCGTTGAATTGACATCCTGCAGCTCTTGTGTCATATCAGGTCTGTCACCAAATTGATTCACTCTTGTGCAAAATTCTGCATCACTTCAAAATGTGCCTGGAGATCTTGAATATATTCCTCAGGTGATAAACACGCACATGGAGGATGACTAAACAAGAGATGACAAGGCAGACAAAGATCACGATCAAACAGCATCTGGAATGGAGAACAGCTGGTAGTCTCATGAATAAAAATGTGATGAGTCAGTAAGAAGAGAGATAACTTCTGGTCCCAGTCCTATTGGTTTTTGGAAACCATCAGCGACAGTTGTTAAGGATAGTTCAATTAAACCTCTCTATCATGCTGTCTGATTGAGGATATAAAGCTATCATTTGGCTTTAGTCTATGCCGAACAGTTTGTAGAATTCTTTAGTTATAGTTGACATAAAATTCCTTCCATCAGAATGTAACTAAAGAGGCACTCTGAACCAGGAATCCAATGCAGTATCATAACTGTTACAGCCTGATCATGGATAGGATATGTTTCATATTGTGAAGTAATCAATAACAATTATGTATTTGTTGCCATTAGCAGATCAGGGCAGAGGTACCATATTATCGAAGGCGATGCATCCAAAAAGGTGTTCCTATACTGCAACGTTGCACCTTTTCTCGGCAACATTTCTTCGATCCTTTCCAACCTGCAAAG